AGATCTCAATCCTGGAGTCTCCTCACCCCCCTTTTCTCTCTGTACCCCCAAATAAACCCCTCCCACACCTCCCCCCCATGTCTCCCCAACGTTTTTTGGGGGCATTGCTCCCCAAACCCCACCAGTGAGTGTGAAAACATCCACTTTATACCGATCAAAAATGGGGGGGGGGAGGGGGGAGGGAAGGGTGTCACGACCGCCAACCCATTGGTCCCCTACTCAAAAATAGTGGAAATTCTGCTAATCAGGGAGTGGGATCCAGCCTTTTGTGGGAATTGGCACTCGGGGAACGAGTCTGAGTTCAGGACAACAGTTTGAGGGGTCCAGAGCCCAGTTTGAGGGACCCAGATCTCAGTTTGAGGTGCACAGACCCCAGCCTGGAGAGCCAAGATCCCAGTTTAAGGATCCTAAACCCCAGTTTCAGAGGCCCAGAGCCCAGTTTAAGGGGCTCGGACCCCAGGGGGTGGGTTAGGGATGAGCAGGAAATCTGGCCATAAATTACTGCCACCAGCAAGGCACTGTCACCCCTGCACAGGACCCCATCCCATCCCAGGATCCACCCTGTGAGTGTGATCCTTTATCCTGGGATCAGCACCCATCCCATGAGTCTGATCCCTTATCATAGGACCAGCACCCATGCTGTGAGCAGGATCCCTTATCTGGTCTGGAACCAGCACCCATCCCCTGAGTGTGATCCACTCTGGGACCAGTGCCCCCCGCTGCGGTCCAGCCCCAGCCCTTCCTGGTGATCCCCCTGAGTCACCACCTTCCAGGAAGGCTGCAGGCCAGGCTTCTTCTTATCTCACCACCTTGGGAAGCTTCACCCTGGCATTCCTGTTTCCAGCCACATTACCACCTTTGGCATCTTGACCCTCTTGAACCCTCCCCATATCAGCTCATTCCTGGGTCACAGATCTCAGGAGCTCGTTCCTTACCAAAGGGTTATTGATTCTGATCTTGGAAGTCCTTGGAAATAACGTCTCAGTTCTGTCCATGCTGTCCCGAAAGCCCTCCCCGCAGCAGGAACACCCTGCAGTTGCTCAGGCTCCTGAAGCAGCTGCACCTGTTTGTGACAGATGTTACCTGTGCCATTACCTTTCCATAGGGATACCACCCCCCCCTTCCTGCCTCTGGGATTGTGTGTGTGGGGGGGAAAGATCCCAGTTAGTGAACTCCAGTAAAATCCACTCTGCTCATTGGAAAACCCACCTGTTAGAACCTTTCTCTTAAAAGGGATGGAGAAATATCTCTGCATCCTGGAGCTGTGGTGATAATAAATCACCTGAGGAGCACTGAGGAATTAGGTGTGCAGGAACTGTGCAAATAAGGGATGAATAATCCATGGACAGAAATTGGGCTACTCAGCAGTTAAACTCCCAGCTTCAGTCAGGAATGTGACCTGTGGAGCAGAACCTGTGGTGCACAGGACACAAGCTGGAGAGGGGGTGTTTCCCAGCCCTGAAGTCACACATCCCGTGGCCTTGAAACTGGATTTAAAACTGGAATGTGAAAATCTTCATTAAACATTGGAATAACATAAAGTTACAAATTAACTTTTACTCAGCTGCAGGGAGAAAAGTCACAGAATCATCAAATTACTAAGGTTGGAAAAGATCTCCAAGGTCATTGAGTCCAACCTGTGACCAATCCCCCCCTTGTCAACTAGGCAAGAGCACTGAGTGCCACGTCCAGTCGTTCCTTGGACACCTCCAGGGATGGGGAATCCACCACCTCCCTGGACAGCCCCTCCCAATGCCTGACACCCTTTCCATGAAGAAATTCCTCTTGATGTCCAACTTGAACCTCCCCTGGCACAACTTGAGGTCGTTTCCCCTTGTCCTGTCCCTTGTTCCCCGGGAGCAGAGCCCGACCCCCCCCTCCACCCTGCTCCTCCCTCCTGTCAGAGGGAGTTGCAGAGCCAGAAGGTCCCCCCTGAGCCTCCTTTTCTCCAGACTGAGCCCCCCCAGCTCCCTCAGCCGCTTCTCACAGGACTCACGCTCCAGCCCCTTCCCCAGCTCCGCTCCCGTCTCTGGACTCGCCATTCCACCCGTACCGGAGTGAAAAACCAGCCGCGGTCTGAACAAAGCCCGTGCGAGACCACGATCGGCTGCTTTTAACGCGGTGCCTTCACCCGATCCGCGTCTACCCAAGCCCACCTCCGCCCTGGGCAGGGGCCCGGGGCTCTCCTGGCCGCATCCACCCAACCCAGCGCCCGGGGAGCCCCGAGCCCAGCGCGGCTACGAGGGCGTGGGGTGAATTTCCCGCCGAAAAAGGCTTTTCCCAGGGAAATCAAAGCAGCTCTTTCCCTAAAGTGTCATCCCGATGAAACGGGGCAGCGGCGGGGGAGGGGCGCGGAGGGGAACCCGGGCCGCTGTGTTCGGGGGGAGCACGGGGCTGTTCGGGGGGGAAACAGGGACGTTCGGGGGGCGAGGATGTTCGAGGGGGCAAGGGGATATTCGGGGGGCAAGGACGTTC